CTCCCATCAGCCCTTGCTTGAGGGCAGCTGCTAGGAACATTTAATTTCCTGGCATTCTCGCCTGCCCTGCAAGCAGAGAAGGCCCAGCAGCCAGAATGTATCCTTAGGAAAAGAAACATAGGTATTGCAGAGGAATTAGGGCCATGCATGTAAGTTGAGAATGTTGGTGATATGACAGGATAACAATGATTTCTGTGCCAAGAGAGGGCTGTAAAGCCCAGGCAAGGGGAAAGGAGAATGAGAGTGAAGAGCAATGGATGAAGCACCCATTTTGTCACCCTAATTCTCTCTCCCCAGGAGTCAGCTGAAAAACATGCTGCAAGAAAAATTTCTGGGTCTGTTTTGAATCCAAGTCCTTCCTGGCAGTGGGGTTGCCTCTGCACATCACTGCCTCCCCTCCAGGAGGAGAATGCTATCCTTAGAGCTCATCTACTCTGAGGTCAGGCCCTTGGCAGCACCTCAAAAGCATAGATGTGGCTTGTCGCAGAGAACTCCTTAACAAGGAGCATGTGGCATCTTGGAAGAACTGTGGCCATGGCTGTCCACACACTCATGTTGGACCTCAGTCAGGGCACTTTCCCTCCCAGGACCATCTGTCCTCACTTGTGAACTCAAAAGAGTTTACACTAAGTCTTATCCAGACCCAAAAGTCTATGCCTTAAAGGGTCACACCAGATTCAGATTCAATATTCATCCATCATGATTTCACTTCACTGCACTGAAATCTGGCTCCCTCAGGAGTGAGAAGCAGGGTCAGAGAAATGAAGAGACTTCATTGAAGAAGGTAAAGGACAGAACTGGGATTAGAACTTGGGTCTGTCTGACCTTATATCCAAGGCTCCAATACAGCTGAGTCCAGTAAGTTTGCCAACATTGGAGGATATGCTTTGTGCCCCAAACCCACTCCCACCTTCTGCACCTGGCTCTGTTATCCAGGAGGCTGGTTTCTGGGGATAAGATCAGAGATGCTCAAATTTGGGCATATACCAGCCAGACTCACCTAGAGGTTTTTAAAAAACAGACTGTGGTGCTGCCCCCACAAGTTCTGACTCAGTATGTTTGGGGTGGAGCCCAGACATTAGAATTTCTAACAAGTTCCCGGGTTATACAGATGGTGCTGTCCCAGAGTCCAGACTTTGAGAACCACTGACTGGGACATCAGCTTCCCCTGTCCTCTGGCTTTTGGTTGGGCTCAGCCAATAGAAAGCAGAGGCAAAGAGGGGGTGGAGGGAGAACAGGGCTGAGGTACTTCTTCCTTCAGCTCTGTATATTGGAGTATCACTAAAGATCACACCTGTGGTCAGGTGTAACCTCTTTCTCTGGGTCCTGGTGACCTCTTCCTGCAGACTCCTTAGTGGCCTAACACAGTGTTTAGCCTGTGTACTGCAGTATGTCCTGTGGTGTCGCTCTCCTAGATCACACCTTTATAAAGGATCTCTTGGCTATTTGTCCTCAAATTACCCTGGATTTGAGAGTCCCCTTGCTTCCCGACAGGATCCTGAATGATTCTCAGCCCTCAAGGTCATTTCCTCTTCTAGTGTCATATCCTTCCTGCCAGTCCAGGAATTACAGAACGTCCACATGGGGAATGCTTTGGCAGTTTTGAAATTTCCCCTTGCAGACAGCCTTTGCCCTGGAGCTACCTGAAAGCAAAGTGCTCTTTGTTCTTACTTTCCCCATTCATTTCCTTCCCTTTCACTTCCTTTCCATTTGCACTCCCCGGAAACCCCACTGGCTCTCTTACTAAATTCTAAATAGAATCATTTGGAAGAAAAGGGTTATTTCGCCAAGGTTTCTTTGCCACTGTTCCACTCGAAGGCAGTGCCCTTCCTCCTTCTCTACCCCTTTAATCTTTTCTGCTCTCCCTGGCCTGGGTCTTTGTCCTCCACTATGGCCTCTCAGTGCTTTGGGCTCCTTAAGATGCTAATCACACCTAGTTTTCTTCTTGCGCCAAGAATATTTCTATTTATGAAGGCTCAGCAGGCTTTGCCTTTGGGAGGGACACATACAAGGGCAGGGACACTTTCCAGTCCTCAGGGCTGTTTCTCTTTGACCTTTCTCATTGTGATTCCAGGATTCCCCCCACTTTTAACCCCTGTTGTTTTTCTACCTTTTACATCTGGACTGCTTTCTGAATCTGCTGGCTACATTGACACTGTCTCCTTGCAGTACTGAGTGCAGAACTGTGTCAGTCCTGATGTGCTACAGATTCATTGACCCTCAGGTTAGAAACGAGATTCAGGCTTATTTAAACCCACCAAAGTGGAATCATTAAGGTACTGAATTCTGTCGGCTTCTATGTGAGGTTTTCCTGAAGTGGATATATGACAAGGATGCCAGGACAGGTCATGTCTGTAGTGGACAAAAATGGAACACCATAGACAAGAGGGAAGTGAAACAAGGAAGGGGAGGAAGAAAAGAAAGGTGAGTTTTCTAGCTCATTGCTACTGTGGGCAACTGCAGCCTAAGACTCATGGGAACGCTAGCAAAAAATAAAGTAGAAGATGCATTTTTGTGGAACAGTGAGGAAGCTGGGACCTTTCCCTGTTGAGGGCTTCTCTTGGGGATGTTCATTCTTTAGCTGCTTTGTGCTTGGGCACAGCATCCTTCTCCAGCTTAGGAGAAAGTCCTCAGGCAAAGAGACACAGTCAGGGCAGGACTAGGGTGAACCATGAGGTGTCTGGGGCACACGCTTTAAGGAAGAGCTCACACTTGGGGATCCCTGTTCAGCACCCACAGCTGAGAGTGCAACTTCTGGAATGGTGTGCCCTGGGTGTCTCAACCACCACCTACTTCAGCCTCTGCCAGCTGTTCAGCTGCATAGTAGTTGATGTGGCTCAGGAATGTGGGAGGACCCCCCCCTCCCAGTGATGGAGCTCTAATTCCTCACCTGATATTTCCTTATCTCCTGGAATCTTGCCTCTAGGAAGGAGCCTTCAGAGGGCACAGAGTGTCCTCTTCCTCCTTTCCCTCCTATGTGTGTCTCTCACTCTCTTCTTTCTTGCTAATTGTCTAATCAGCCTTCTTCCTTCCCTCTTCCTCTGGTGTTCTCTAACTTATTATGGAAGCAGCAGAGAGAGAACCACTGCTTATGTTCTGAAGGGTCTTCTCCACATTGAGTTCCTATTTACTGGGTACCAGCCACATGCCAGGTTTTGGGAGACAGAAATGCAAGATGGCCATGCTGTCACCAAGAAGCTATGGCATGGAGACAAGTTATCACCAGGTACGAATCCAAAGACCTCACAAGTCACAATGATGTCAAGGGTCAAGGAAGAGACATACATTGTGTTCTAGGAGTGAGTAATGGGGTTTTGCCTGTATCTGAAGGGTCAGAAGAATTTTCTGAGGGAGTGATGACTAGCTGAGAACTGAAGAGTAAGTGAACTTTATTAGTGCAAAGAGAGGAGGGAAGGGCACTTGGAAAGAGACAACAGAATATGCAAAGGCCCTGAGGAATGAAGGGCATGGAAAGCTCACAGGATAGCCAGTGTGGCTTAATTGAGGAGGCTGTGATAGAGTAGTGTGGATGAGGCTGGAATGACAGTACAGGGCCTTACATTAAGGATAGCTCAAGAATGAAAGGAAACATTTGAGGGGTTTTTAGTAAGAAAATGACATCAACCAAGTCATGTTTTAAAGGGGTCTTTCTGGCTTCTGTCTGGTATCAGAGAGGTAGAAAATTGAGGCTATCCTGGATGTGGGGCAACTGTGAAGGAGGCTGGGCAAAGTCCAGAAAAAGCTGGTGGTGGCCCAGGCAAGGGTGAGCTGTGGGAGGCCTAGAGAGGCCTCCTGTATATCTGCTATATATCTCCTATACAGCTTGGCTAACCCTTGGTCCCCACAGGCTTTGGCATGGGGACATGGCCAATTCTAACTCTCAAGGAGTCAGTCTCCCTTCACTATGTTCTAGTCATTTTTATTCAACCCTAGGAGGAAGACATTGTAAATCCCATTTTATAGAACTAAGGATTACAACTACTGGGCTTAGGTTACCCAGCTTCTAATTTAGTGGTCCCTATCTGAACTCAAAATCCATCAGGGAGAATGGGTTAGTGGCCAGATATTGTAGGGCAGAGTAGGCACTGCTCTGGAGAAGATGATGCTGGGAACCAGTCAAAGCAATTAGCCACCTGTCCCAGAGCAGGGATTGCATCTCCCAGTGCCTGGCACAGGAAGTGTTTCGAGGAGGCCCATGCATCATAAGTCTTAATACATGTTTGCTGAGTATTTGAATATCTCTTTCCGACATTTCACCAGCAAGAAATCTCACTGTCTGCATTACTATCTTCCAAGAGACAAATTATAAATGTTTTCTGATTAGTTACACCATTCATAGCCTGTTCCTAAATCAGCACAGGAAACAGCTAAGCGAAAACTTCTTCCTTTACAATCTGCCTGTATCTTATTCTTTCTTCTTCCAAGTTATTTCTAAGGCAATGTCTAGACAGTTAAAGCAAAACAAAACAAAATCTGAACTGTGCTATAAATAATTTGTCATTCAAGATCTCCCCCCACCTTTGGCTGAATTGGGTTACCTGAGATCTGAGACCAAGAAATGCTCCCTATACAGTTGATGAGATGTCAGAAGTTCCAGGTTGGCTATACCAGATCACACAAAGGCTGTTGTGGACACCTGATCTCCTCAGGATACCTGCTCAGCATCCTGTCTGAAATATCTTTGTTCTCTCTGTATTTATGATGCTTTGAACACTGTACATACCAATATTTGGCAGTTACAATACTTGTCTGTTACTTGTAGAATTCAGTTTTGTGGCAGCCTCTCTCTTCCTGTCCTCCCAGAACTGAATACCATGAGTATTCATTCCTACATGAATACTGTTACTGCCTTTGTTCAGGCCTCACTATCCCTTGCTGGGACCGCTGTAGCTGTTTCCTGACCCAAAGATGGAAGCATCAAGGATTATTTGGTAATGAATTCCAAATTTTCTCCCATGTTCCGAAGTCTGGTACTTAGGCCCTCCAAAAAGGGCACCTACAGGATATGATGTTCCCATATCGATTCTTATTGCGGTTTTCATCTTCCTTGGCTGTGTCCCACGAAGCTGTCTGTCCCTCTGGTAAGGCCTAAAAAAGCAAAGATAGAGTGATTAGAGTGGTCTGAGATGTAGGCTTTATCCAGCTGAACATAAACAAACAGTGGGGAGTGAGAACCCACTGTAATAGGACACTCAGGATAAAGAGCTGTGTGTGCTAGTTTGGAGTCTGGGGAGAACAGAATTGGCCCTTGCACAGACTTGCTTGCTTGCTCATTGCCAAAGCATTGCTAATGTCTTCTATGTGTCATGAGCTCACAATGTGATCCAGTAGAGAAGTCATTCACTTATTCATTCATATGGTTTGAGCACCTCCTACTATGCTTTGAGCACTGTTCTAGGTAACAGGAGTACAAAGAATTAGACAAGTCCCCTTGAGCATTCACTCAACTAGAAAATGCAGCAAATAAATAAGATATACATAATTTTTAGATAGTAAAAAGTGGTATAAAAAATAAATTAGGATAAAGGATAGTGATGAGGAGTGAGAATTATTTCAGCTTCCACCGTCTGGGAGGGTTTTTTCAAGAAGGTGACATTGAAGTTCATTCCTTAATGATATAAAAGAGCCATTCACACCTACCTAGTAACATAGAAAGTATTTTCCAGGCAGCAGGAATAGCAGGTGCAAAGGTAAGGCAGAAACTAAATGACCATACTCAAGAATGAGAAGGAGGAAGGGGGACTAATGATGGAAGCATCTAAAAAGGATGAGAGAGTAGCGATTATATGAGGCATTGCCGATCCTGGGTACCAAATTAAGTCTTGTTCTCAGTGTGACTAGAGACCATTAGAGTGTTGTGAGCAGGGAAGTCACCTGATCTGTTACACAAAGTACATTCTGGCTCATGTATGGAATACAGGCACTAGGAAGGCCAGGGAAGAAGCAGGGAGATTGGTTAAGAACTTACTGAAACTTTCCAGGCAAGAGATGTGATGTGAGAAGAGTGTTTATTTTCAGGATGTTCGGTTGAATATGGTTGACTTGAGTTGCACCAGAGGTAGACTCAGAGATAAGGGTTTGAGTACAAGTGGTTTGTTTGGGAGGTGATTCCAAGGAGCATAGGTATGAGAATGAAGAAAGTAAGAAAATCAAGGGTACATCAATGAGCAAGTTACCACTGTGTACAACTGGGGCTTAATCCCAAGGGCACAACTCATGCTTCAGAGTTGTCTCACCAGAAGGGTGGGGAGGTGGTGTACTTGCTCATTGATTCCTATCTGTTACTGACTGAGGACAACTTGGATTGTCCCTAGCACTTATGCTCTGAGGCAGAGTATGTATGAAAACCCTCAGGTAAAAAAAATCATGATGCTTACAAGAGGAAGCCATCAGTGGGCAAGCATGGGGGTAGTGAATGTAGGGCAGATATGTGCAGAGCACCAGCACATCTACTGTGTAAGAAAGAGGAATGAAGGCTGATCCCTAGATCATTGGTCTGAAGAACTGCGTGGAGAGACATGTCATTTACTGAAACAGGATTGGGGAGGTAGGAATTAAATACACATTGTGTTTAGGGTACATGGAGTGTTTAGAATAGAGCCTAGGACTGAGAACTGTGTGCTTTTTAACATGTTCAAATTAATAACAACAACAATACATAATGGCAGCTAAGCTTGAGATGTCTGTTAGACATCTAAGCTGAGATGTTGAGTAGGAAGTCAGACAGAGAGGTCCAGAGTTTAGAGGGACAGGAGGGATAGGAACCATCAATCAGGTTATGAGGAAGGTAACCACATAAGGGGCAGAAAAGCACATACCCATATGGGATGATTTACAAGAGCAATGAACCAAGCTGTCTGGAGCACAGGGGAGGTGTAACCAGTCATTTCACAGAGACGCAGGATAGGCATTGAAGGAGGCAGGAAGAGCTTTAGCAAACCTGCAGCAGCATGAAGGTCAGGTCATGTTTTGATTACTGTCCCTGCTCTGCTTCTAAAATAGGAAATAGGCTAAATGTACTATGGCCCTTGCATTGTGTCTGAGACTGAGCTGGTGATGGTTTCAGTTTGCACAACTCTGTCAGCTGTGTAGGGAGATGACAACTTCACTCATCTTCACACACCAGCCTTGATTTGCCCATCTCTTCCTCACTAGGACCATCCTAAGTAAGGCTCTTCAATTAGATTGGTTAGGTTCAGCCACTCAGAAGGCCACACTTTATGGGCAGTAGGATCACTATGAATGTATATAAAGATCAATATTCAAGCATGGTGGAAACTTTCTGGCTTCCAGTCTCATGTATGTTAGCCAATCTGGGTGGGTCTTTTGCTAGTGTAGAGATTGTTGGCAAGCATTTTCTTTAATAATCTAGATAGTGTCTACTATCTAGATAGTTGCCAATCTCATAGTCAACTCTGTGGTTGTAGAGTGAAAGCAGTCACAGATGAAAAGAAATGCATGAGCACGGTGGTGTACCAATAAATATTTATTTACAAAAACAGGTGCTGGGCTGAATTAGCTTGTGCTTACAATTTGTCAACTTTTTTCTAGACGTGTGACCATGATCATCACTGGTGCAGTATTTGGATAGGTAGAAATGCTGCCCATTCTGCCACCTAGCCATTCCAGAGCCTTGGGAGAGTACAGATGGCAGGGCCCTGCCTGGGCTTCCTGAGTTAAGCCATGTTCTCCAACTAAGCTTCTCCAGGCTTTAGAATGGGACAGTAATATGCCTTCTTAGCCATTAATGGGTCAGAAAGTTTTCTCTCTGTGCCCCATACCCTTAGATAGGCATCCTGGGGAGGCAGGGGAGGGGAACAACTAGGTGCTAGGCTCTGGTCACCAATCTCTGCCCTACATCTGGATGTGGAAAAGTGTTATGGAGATAGGACAGGGCTCATCTTAAACATGTAGGGCTGGTACTCATTTTTATCCTGTTCTTCCTCTTCCTTCTTTTCTTACTCTTCATTAAGAAAGAGCATTACCCAGCAGCCATCTTGGCTTAGGATCTCTCTAGACCACAAATGATTCTTTCTTCAAAAAATTTGTAAGCATATATTAGTTGTACAGGGGAGTTTCATTGTGACATCTCCATATATATTTACAATTCATCCACTCCATCATTCTCCCTCATCACTCCTCTTCCCTTCTTAAAATAATTTCAACAGGTTTCATCATTACTATCTTTATACACGTATATAAAGTACATCAACCATATGCATACTTCTTCTCCCTCTCCATTTATCTTACCCCTCCTACTAATACCCATCCCTGAACAGGACCTATTCTATACTCCTGTCCTTCACTACTGCATTCAGCTCTTAGATTCTAGCCCCTGGCCTTATCCTCCTGCCCAGTCAGGCAGCTCTAGCATTCTCAGGCAACATGCCAGGTCTGTTGTGTGTTGGGGTTTTAGTGATGATTAGTTGGTGGACTTTTTACCTGAAATCCTCTGTGCTAAAAGCTAATTGTTCATACCAATATAGTGGTTGGGTAGGAGATTCTGAATGTTTTCATACTAATTTCTTGAAAAAATTGTGCTGAGTACCTGCTAAGTGCCAGGGCTTGGGGTACAGTTAGCTTAGGTTTCTATGGCTGCATGTTAGAATTGCTCAGGGAGGCTTTAAAACTCTCAAAGCCAATACCCTGCCCCAGAGCAGCCAGATCACACTCTGGGGTGGGACACAGCTATCCAGAGTGTTTAAAAGTCCTCAGGGGATTCTAATGTGCAGCCATGATTCTTGCAAATAGCAAATTTACCTGGAGCAATACTTTCCCATGAGTCTCCTCTTTGGTTTCTCTTGCTTGGGTTTTGTTCCCTCCATTCCATTCTCCACTGTAATCAGAGGGATCTTTCTAAAATGTGAATAGGACCCAGTTACTCCCCTTGTTACTGCCTTCTGGTAAATTCCAAACTCTTTAATAGCATGTCATTTATGACTTCACCAAAATGTCCTTCTGATTCACTTGCTCTTATTTTGATATACCAATTACGAGGTATTTTAGATTTGCAAGACTTCACATGTTCTCTCCACTTGAAATTCTCTTCCTTCTGAGTCTACCTGGAAAACTCCTATGTAGTCCAAGCATCTTCTCTTTCATGAAACCTTCTCTGTTCACCCAAAGGCTGCCTCCCCAGTTACAGTCAGTCACTTCTATTATTAGGTGGATATATCAACATCTAATAATCGAAACATCTCTCTCCCAACTTGGCCATGGGCTCCTCCAGGGAACAGTTGCATCTCATATATGACTGTTCTGTACTTTATATGTGCTTGAATGACTCACTTGGAATGAATGCGTGAGAAAGCAAAATAATTCATGAATCTTGTGGCTTCTGTGCCTTCAGAAGGCAAAGCTTCTGGAATTTCTAGGTATAAATGACCTTGAAAATCTTCAAGTTGTGTTCCTGTCTGCAATGGCCTTTCAGGCAGCTGACAGCTGATCCACAGCATCTGTCACTTGGACAATCTTAGTGACAGATGGCTCACTACCTCTCAAAGTCTCCTGCCTCCATTTTCAGCAGACTCATTGGATGGTTTTCTCTTTACTCTGATCCCTTTGCATTACTATGGGGTCCCACAGAATAAGGATAGACCCTCTGTATTGTGACAATGCAGAGGTCTGACAAAGGTTCCTCTGCCATCTCCAGAATTCTTAAGTGTCCTCTCAACAACAAGGCCATGCCCTTTGGGATACCACCAGGCATGCAGCTATGCCTGGAAAAATCCTACACTCAACACAACAGCTGTGATGAATGAAGGGCACTTCCCCACTGGTGGGCATGCAGGAATCTACCACAGCCCTGGGAACCTCTGTCTCCCCCTCATGAGCTGAAGGAGATAGAGCGGCCTGTGGGCTGTGGTGATGTTGAGAAATGCAGAGGAGGCAATGCCTAATAGAGGAGGCGGTGGTAATGATCCCCTAATTGGCAGCTTTGATCACACATCTATTTCCCTTTCCAGGGAGCTGCAGTCTAATAGGGGATAATCTCTTCAAGGAAACAAATCTGAGGGAGTAAGAGTATGAAAGGGAGACTCATCTTCATCTTCAAAGTGAGCAAGCCAGGGGCATTATTTTTACATTAG